TATATATATATATATATATGGCAATGAAATGAGTTGGTCAAAACTTGTTAAGAGCAATGTGGCTACGTTGTGGTCCAAATTTTCCCCCTAAACCTATACAAACCATTTGTACAGAAAAAAGCATATTTTTTCCTTTATTGATTCTAGGCTGTCCTCGCCACCCTAATAAGAGGGCTAATTAAGCTTTAAGCACAAGAATTGCCAAAGATTAGCACAGTATAGATAGTACATCTAAAAGAACCCAAATAAACAGAAAAATCTGACCAAAAACTCTAATAAAAGTAGCCCCTTTAATCCTCCTTGATAGACCAAGCAAACCTCTGTCCGGCGTGAAAGCGTAACTTTATGGATCTTCAAATAATTGAAATACTAAAGACAAAGGTTATGAAAGGTAAGTTGTATGATCCAATTATTGCACCAGAAATCGTAAGAATGATCGCAATATGACCTTTACCAAGATGGTTTTAATTAACTCAATCTATATATTTACACTACAAGAAATCAAACCCATTCACGCTTAATTTTAAGAAAGCGAGGGTCTAACATTTTATTTTATTTTTAAATAAAAATAAAATAAATTGTTTTCACAATGTTTATATATATCATGGGCTTAATAAAGTTTATAAGTGAAGAATGTTTTATTAAAATAAAATAGAGATAAAAATGTAAGTTTGTGGGAAAAACTTCTGGGTTGGATTCTTGAACCCGAATTGAAGTCTTATTAAAAGAAGGAGGAAAATAGATTAGGTCACAATGTGTCTTTGAAACCTTGAGAGTATGTAGAGGAAGCCTTAGAAGAGAACCCCAAGGAACGAGTGAAGTAGCCTCGGTAAAGTAAAGATCATGCATGTTGCCTTAGATATTGTTAGCTGAGGTCTTGTTAGCAGTAAACATATCTCAGAAAATCCAATTAGCAAGAGGAATGGGAATGAAAATGAGAAGAACATGCATTCACCAGAGGAAATTACAAAACTAGGTGTTGATCAAGTTAGGAAAATCTATTCATGCTTCTTGCCTTATAGATTATCATTTGAGGTAAGAGAGGAAGTGAGATTGTATACCTTATGGGTGCATATGAGGGGTATGAGTAGTAAGATGACATCTAAGCTTCCTTAGAGTTTATAATTGTGTGTTTAATAGAGTGAAATTGATTGAAATGGTTGCATGAGTGTGTATAACAATGAATTTTTGGGATTTACAATTATTTCATGTTGCGTGTTAGAAGATGAGAGTTAGGGTTGAATGCATGATTGAGGGTTTTGTGTTACTGGATTTATTTTAAATTTGTTGGTGCATAGTGTTTGAATGGAGGCAATTAATTCAAGTGTGGAGTAATTGAGAATAACCCTTTGAGTAATTTATCTTGTGATGCGCAAAAATAGAGAAAGAGAAGGTAAGAACAACGTACGAATCAACCAAGCCTGATGCGATTTCGTGGCTATGGATTGACAAGCACGATCGTGCTTAAGGAAGCATGCTCATGCAAGCCTATGCAAGAGGCACTACATTTGTACTTTGGGGAAGCATGCACGTGCTAGGCTGAGTAAAGGGACTACAATTGTACTTAGAATGAAGCACACTCAGTGCTTCTAGGGAGCATACTCTTGTTGCTCTCATGCTCACTTATAATCAAGATAGTTTAATTTAATTAAATAAGAAGTTGGTAATGGGGGAAGTTATATGATGGTGTAACTAGTAAGAGATGATAAGGAAACTAATTACTAATTCATAAAAGACTTAATTGACTCTTGTGTCTGTAAGAAAGAAATAGACAATGAAGAAATGAGAAACCATGAGATGACGTTGAGTTGAGGTGTGTGAGATATAATACTTAATAATGAAGGAAAACAATAGAGGGAAAAGGGCAAGTATAGTAACCATAATTAAGTAACTAAAGAAGAGGAGTAAGAATAATGACTTAATGAGTAATAAGAGTAAAAAGATGTAAATGAGAATAATGATATGTGATGTTTATGTGTAGCATGAGAACTTTATGTGTGATATGAGATGCTTGTGCATAATGTGCATGATGAGAAAACATTATGAGATATATGAGATAAGATGTGTTGTTGTTTGACATGAGAATCTTGTGTGCAACATCTAAAATGTTTGACGTTTTATAAGACGATGATGATGATAATATGAGGAAGTTTAGGTAGAGGCTTGGTCTTTTGGAGAAATCTAGACAAAGGTTTGGCAACACAATGACATCGGTGTTGAACAAATGCATTATTTTTGTTTGTGATTTGTAAAGTTGTTTAGAGTCCATGCATTCATGCATACTTTCTTTTGGAGGTAGTAGTGAATCTATGCAAAAGGTCTCTTTAGTCTTTTACCTTGGCCTTGGAGGTGTTTTGGTGCGGATCTTCTAACGAGTATTGTAGGTGACCATGCACCACTATGATACCTCGATTGGATCCTGATAAATTTTCTTCTAGTTGAGAGTGGATTAAGAGTGTCACTTAGAGAATGGTGATCTGATCTGTGTTCTTTTAGGCTACCCCGTATTGGAACGCCTTTAACAATTTTAGAGATTGGTATCACATGCATATAAAATCAGGAACATGAGTCTGCACAAGTCCTTGAAAATGTTATTGGATGTTTAATGTTGGTGTATTGAATGAGAATAATTTATTGATGTTTGAGTTGGCATGAATGATGTTGCATATTGCGTTGAGATACTATCCTTATTCTTCATGTGATTATACATATGTGAAATATAGCCTCACTTCTCTTATGTTTTTGTTGTTAGTTTTTTGGGTTGAACACCAATGCAGGAGTTGATTTGGTAGATGAAGTTAAGTCTAAGATAGATGAAGCTTGAGACTTCCATTTTACTTTTATGAGTTTTGCTTTGATTAGTGTGAAATTGAGGCTAGAAAATAGTGCTACTTTGTTTATGTCTTTTTTAAATCATGTGTTATAAAGATTTGGATATACGTATATCAATTTAGAAGATGTTTGTTTAGAAATAATATTTGTCTTTAGCTCAAAACAAATCTTAGAGGTTTATTTAGAATAGTTGTTAATTTTCTCAAAACAAACTTTCAAATCTTTTGATTAGTGTGAAATTGAGGCTAGAAAATAGTTGTTACTTTGTTTATGTCTTTTTGAAAATCATGTGTTATACAGATTTAGATATACTTATATCAATTTAGAAGGTGTTTGTTTATAAATAATATTTGTCCTCGGCTCAAAACAAATCTTAAGGTTTATTTAAAATAGTTGTTAATTTTCTCAAAACAAACCTTCAAATCCTTTGAGTAAGTTAAAGGATTGATCGAAGACTTTGCTTTTGTTCAAAACATTGTTCTATTAATGGTTGTTTTGAAGAAAATTAGTTATAAATAGCTTAAATATACATCTGGTCCTCGCTCTCTTTGTAAGATTTTCACTAATCAACACAACAATTAACCACCATTGACTTACACCAATAACCTCAAGAAGTTCATTACACAAAGCTTCCCCCAACTTGTAGTAACAACAACACCACACTTGTCTTGGCTTGGAGATAATCTGTCTCAACCACGACCACTATACTTGGTTATGGGAGAGACAAACCAAGTATTCTTCATCTCTTTAAGTGTGTTTAACCCACAAAATGATTCAGCTCCCAGAAGGGAAAACTTTTTAACCACAAAACTTCCATGGTTCTTGGAAGGCAACCTTCACCTCTCACTAGAAATTCCATACCACAAAAGTCTTTTTACTCTTGGGAAGCAATTTGCCTCAACCATGACATTAACAAGTATTATTCCATCTGACCTCTTTAGGTTACACAAGTATTATTTTCCTCTAGCCTATTTAAATTGCACTCTTAGAGTCTCACTAAAGTACTCATCTTTCATGGGCTCTCCCTATCACTTCTCTTACAATCAAACTTAGCCCACTAGGTGAAGTTATCATAAATACATATATTACATAAAACAGAATAGTGTTTGTAAGGATTATACACTATGTCTGCCACCTTTATTCTAATCTTGGATCCTTAAGGTAGGGAGGAGTACATGACAGATGACCACACTGCACCATGAGTGTTCAAAAATGATCACTCTTTACTAGGATAAAATCTACTAAAGTCTATAACTTATTAATCCTAAACAATTATGTCTGATTTTAGGTTATCGAATTCATCCTTAATTTCTCCTATAATAGTTATATATGTTAACAATCTATTAATCATTATAAGGGTTCAATTCTTAGAGAGTCACATGAATTCCAAACACATCAAAATTCCAAATACAAATTATAAGCCTATTTTAAGAGTTCCAATTTGAATCCTATCTAATTATGAATTGGTTTAATTACCCAGTGGATAACAATCAACTCTGCCTAAAACCATTTGGGTTGAATGATTTTATAGGTTGTGCTGTTTTTCATATGTCAGTGGGTTCAGACGCAGACACAAAAAATTCAGACCGACTAAAAATAATCGTTGTTCGGGCTTAATAACAATGCTTATTATAAACATTATATTTATTCCTAGAGTTTCAATTAAATTTATCGTGCGATACTTTTGTTTAACTACCTTTTGATTGGGCATAGCTGAATTTTCATGCAATTATATATTTTTTCTCTTGTTTAGACAACCCCTTTTTTATCGGGATGCAATTCTGTGTTTTCCTCTTCCATCACACTTATTTGACTCAGATAAGCCTCACTTCAGATGGTATTAATGATAATCATTCACCAAAATTTTAGTACTATAATTGTTTCAACAGGACGTGCTTGTAAGAGACGATTATTTCTAAACCATAAAAACTCATGCCAATGAACTAAGTACTTATAACTATGACTTTTGGTACAATAGTGTCAGATTTTGGCAAAAACAAAACATCATCATCACCATATCATCATCATCATTTAGTGCTTGGTCCACTATATAAACATCTAACTACATTCACTCCAACGTGTAATACTTCCTCATGTATTTATCAATTTATACGGTAATTAATTGCATACTCCAAATTCTAAAGATGGAAACTAAGTAGATTATGTTGTTCAACTACAAAGCAAGCCTCAATTAATAAGTAGAAATGTAATGTACAATCTATAATATATAGGAATACATGGAATCTCAAAAAATAATGATAGAATCCAAAGGCCAATCTAAGCCTCTAAAAGCAAATAAAAGGACGTCAAGCGAATATAATAATGAGATGAAAATACGTGCAACACATATAAAGAAATCTGACCTCATCATCATTAAGATTTAAAGGGAAATAAATGGAGATTTTGTAAAGACTTAAAAGCAAACAAGCATAAGATAGGAAGCATTTACAAAATTACAACACGAAATTTTTTAATGAGTATATAAGAAGCATCTCGATCTAGAAATCTTAATCATTTATTTAAGATTTTATGATCTAGAATACTTGCTCTTATGAGAGCATTCTCTCAAACGAAAAATCTAACAAGTCCCACGTCAAGAGAAAATCCATTGCTCGTATCTAGCTTAAATAAGGTTTCATTCAATAATCTTTTATTATTTGAAACATTTTGCAGCAAAATCAAATAAAGAGAAAATTTCAATATAATAATGACACTAGAGTTAAGTTCCGCCTATTTAAAACGTGGTCTATGAAATCTCCTGTCACAACTTCTATGTTCTTTGCTTTATTAATAACAAATTACTTAATCTGTGTTCCAAATTCTCTCCATCTAAAAAATATACCTAACTGGAGGCAAATTAGAAGTTTCAATCCTCTCTTCCCTATTAAAATTGGCAACATTTTAAATAAGATTCATCAGAACCAAATCAAGAGGCTTCAATGATTAAACTAACTACTTGCTAACTTAGAAGCTCTCAGATAATAGTGATACATAAGATGAAGCAAATTGAATATGTACTAGCAATTGTTGTAATTGAAATAAAATAAAAAAATCAATGAAACCATGTATAGGCAAAGAGAAAAAAGGTGGCAAGCAGAAGCTAAAACGACTACTTTTGCCTGCAACATTGGCTAGCCATTCTAAACCTACTGCACACTAGTCAAAGGCTAAGGAGATGTATAAGCATGGTTCTCATGTAGAATTTAAATGATATATGAAATTTTAACCTATTGAAAAGGAAACTAATCTCTCAGAATTTACAGCAAAGAAAGCTATCCTTCCAACACCACTGCTTCCGGAAACGCCTCCTGTCAGCTTTCGCCATTCTGACGGGGCTGCTATTCCATTCATTTTGCAGTCTGCAAGCAACAACAAGTATATCAGAAAATTAGTTATGCATTGCAGAGAAAAAGGCCAATGAAAAGTGTTAACTAAAAATGCTTTCTGGCACTTTACATTGGAAATGCAAAGGAGCGAGTGCTGGTAGTGCTGCTGTCGGATCGAAGAGAAATGCTGCCAGAATAAGGAACCGGCCCTGAGTAACTTATTCGACCTGACACGGGACCAATGGCAGAGAAACTTGACTCGCCAAAGTTGTGATGAATGTGGCTGGTGACAGCCTGATCATCGGACTTCCCTTCTACTGGCTTGTTTAATGTTTGTAGAATTTCATCACATTTGCAGCTACCAACTTGGCATTCCTCCTTACCACATTCAGCAGGAGCTGAAGGATTCAACTGATGATGGAAGCTTTCAATCTCTAGAGGCACGCTATCAGTATTTGATTCATCATCTGTCAATGCCAACGAGGGACTTGCCAATGTTGGTTCCTCAACCGAATTTTTGGACTCTTCTGGTTGGGAGTGTGGTTCAGGCTCATCAGAAATCTGCAAATATAACGCATCATTTTCAGAAATCGACAATTTCCAAAATAAAGATATCAAAATTTGGCTAATAATTTTAGAAATAAAAGCTCCGAAAGATATGCTTGTCACAACATAGACATGGGGAATAATCCTAAAGAGTTCACTTAATAGTAGGAAAATTGCAAATACTAAATAATATGCTTCTTAAAGTATTAAAATCATTGGCCATCCTGCTCAACTAGTGACTCCATCATGAACACACATTGTGTTTCCAAAGCTGTAACTAATCTAACAAGTAACGATTGTAAAGATTTAATTACCATACCAAAGTTAATCCTTCCAAAGAACAATTAACATATATTTCCAAACAAAATACCTAGATAATATTTGATAATATGTTGAATACCTGTTCATCCTTGTGGTCAGAAGATACAGTATCCTCGGCGAATAAATCTTGCAACAAAACCTTATCTTCAGGTAAAACCATCTCTTCATTGACATTAGCAGAAATTTTTCCAGTTGCTTCGTCATCTTTATGTATCAAATCCATGGCCTGATCACAATTGGTAGAAACTTTATCGGACTCCTCTGTTGGTGGCAGGTTTAGTACATTGATACTGGTGTTGTCTTCATGCTTTTCTTTACTTTCATAACTCTCAGAAGGGAAGTTGTAGGCCTTGTCGTCGACGGTATTCACAAACATGACCTTATCCTTGGTAAGGGCTCCTTCATCAACACAGATATCCTTGACAACATGATAATTACTCTCTTTGTAACACACTTCTAGTTGTGGTTCACATTCTGTGACAGTTTTGTCCATGTATACATCCACTGCTTTTCTTTCCTCTGCGGTATTAGAGATTGGTGAAGAAAGGGACCTTTTAACTGATTCTATATCATTTGGAAACTTCATAAATGACTCTATATCCTTGGAAGAACGAGATACTGGCTCAACTAAGTCCCTTACTGGTGCTTCATATTCATTATTCATACCGATCATGCTGTTAGAAAAACCAAGATTTGCAGTCATACAAGCAGCTGAATCCTTGTCATATTGTGATGAATCTAAACCTTGTTCTTTGTTGTCTAAAAACGCAGGGACTCCGTTCTCATATTCCTTCACTTTCTGGTTTTGTAATTTGTATCCAGCAGAAATTTGATCATCATCATTGAACACAAACGATTGTGATTCAGGCTCAAGACCAATATTTGAATGTCGAAAAGCCAGTTTACCTTCTGCACATTCATTTTCATACCAGAAAAAAATTAGTTTGGTTAGAATTTAAAATCATAAGGCACAATAACACACCCCATGTAAAAAATCAAAAGGAGAACCAGTGCTTAGAATAGTTATAGTATATTAGTATGGCTTTTAAAGAACTGCAAAGAACATATCCTTAACCCATGCTAAACAAACGGATCAAGAAACAATGTACCCTCAACTAGGACTGAAAATCATGGCCTAACAAATTAAAAAGTAAATGTGCATGAAGCCATGAACCCATTTCAGGGGTAACAATCTTGTTACAGCCCAAATGGTCAACCAAAGCTATACTAGTCCAACCCATATTCAAGCAAAAAACAAATACAAAAGTTAACTGGATATAGTAAAAGAATCAATTGCAGGCACTATAGATAAACAATTTGTTACCTAATTTCATGGTGAACTGGGGTATAAATTCATGGGCAAATTTTCTGTGCAGCAATCATGGGTACTTTGACCATTACTGTCAACCAAAGAGACTAGTCTGATTAAACAATATTCTGCACGGATCTGAAAATCTGAAAACATAACAATGACAGGTTAGCAAGTAACTAAAATTAACTGCACATAACGAAAATAAGTGCAATAATGGACTCAATGTTCTATACAAATACTCAAAGCCAAGCAGTCAAGCACCAACAAGAAGATTCTATTCTACTGCTCCGAAAGATAACCTAATTTAAAATAATATGAATAAAAGAAGAAAAAAAAAAGTAAAAAAAAGAGAAAGAAAGAAAAGAGCCAATTTTCTAATCATAAGAAATCATAAAATATTTATTTGGATTGTGGTAGAAAGAAAACACAGATTCTGTCACTATTACCTTATATTCCTGATTCCCATACAAGGAAGGAAATTAACAGAACCCAGTTCTAGAGAAGACACTAATTATAAAATTAATCATAGAGCATAAGAAAGGAAATTGAAGAGTTTACCACAATTTCTAAGAAAAAAGCTTTAGATTAAACTAGCAAAACTGGGGACCATATTCTATATTAAGCTTTTAATATCCACACAACATATACATATATCAATCAATTTTGTTTATCTAAGAATATCAGTGCCCTCCATGAGCCTATCATAATATTTAAGTACTAATAAGCAAGTACCAGTTAGTCACCTTTTCTTTTTATAAGTAAAAGATTTCGCCTAAGTAGAATCCAAGGACGGTACAGAAGGTATAATAGGACAAGAAAAAAGTTTAAAAATTTCGAGCTTTTTCGAAAGTTTTCAACTACAAAATTACAAAACGAAATTTTAAATCACAAGGCCTACATAACAAGATGACTCCCTACAAAATCCCTACCAATACTTTGTCCTTTTGCTCTGATTGAGATCTGACTCACCAGAATAAACAAGTTTAGAAAACCAGGGAAAAGTACAGTGAAAAAATCCCAGCTGAGTTAAAACTTGCACCGGAATCGCATGAAGGAAATCAGGGAACACGGTCAAAACGATAGAGATCTATCTCAGATCCCAAAACCTTCTTATCCCCATAAAATAGTATAGGCCTAAAAAGTTATTCTCATACTGAAAGAGAAAATTGGATTCCCTCAACATTCAGCAAAAAAAAAAATCTAAACAAAAAAGCTTCATTTTTTTTATTCTGAACAGACAATTTCAGAAAAAAAATTCTGAACTTCACACACAGATGAAACTATTAAAATAAAATAAAACAATTTTTTATTACCCCAAAAGAAAACAAAATTGGTTGAACATAAAACCATGCAATTAGTCAGAGAATGGAAGAGAAACAATGATACGGCTGAGATCAAATCAAGGCAGAAAGGGAATTACCGAAGTCCAAAACTGGCGAAGAGAAAGAGAGTTTCTTCTTTATGTCGGTAAACGTACTTGAATGCTTAAGGGTGATAAAAAGGAAGAGATATAAATAAAAAATAATTAATTAATACTAATAATAAAAGCCACCACAGAGTACTAAGAGATAATGGATGAGTTGTAATTATAGCATTCATAATGGTCAACTGTTACTCTCTCTCTCTCTCAACCCCTCTTCACACATCACACCCTCCACTCCACCTTCTCCTTCTGCAATTAATGAATTAAAAACAGTGAAACAAAGCAACACTGACCCGACCCTACCCTCCAATACCCAAATTCAATATAGGGTATATTGTAGCATTAAATTTTCACCTCTAACTTTCCATCAAAATTTAATTTCACACCAAAAATATGCAACTTTAGCCCCTCCCACTGATTCTTCCTCTTCAAAGTCTCCATCTTTATCAGATTCCGCTAACTTCCCCCCTCCCCACCCACCATTTTCCCACCACCCACAATTTTCCCGAGAAAATTCACCCTCATAAAAATAAGAACACGACCACATTGGTACCTCGGATCCATCGACCAAATAAAAAAACGAACACAAAACGACGAAACCTTTGACTTGCACCTTAACATACCCAAAAAAACTAAAAACACAAAAACAAAGCATAAAGAAACAAAAAAAGCCACTTCGAGTCCGGAGAGGAGAGAACTCACCGGTGAGACATGTTGGAAATTGTTAGCGTGCGGTGCGACCCAGCGTAGGATGGTGCAGGTTCACGTAATTGAAGAGTCAACAGTTATACGAGAAAGAACTTAGCTGTATCCCAAATCTGAAACTGGGTGTGTGTGATGTACCAACTGAGCTGTTTCTGTGTACCTGTTTCTGTTTTTTCCCTCTCTTTATATATACGCTGCTACATTCTTTTTTCTTTTTCCTAATTTCTTTTTCTTTTTCTTCCTAATTACTTTGACTATTTTTTGTTTCTTTCATCTTTAGATGGGGTCCCACCTTACCAATAAGCGTTTCAAATTTTCTATAGTTCATCCTTCCCACTCACCAATGCCCAACAAACTTTGGCTTCAGAAAATTATAGCGTGAAGGAGATTCCGTGGGGTGAGGATTTTGCGGATGCTATGGACATGCAAGGATCACGTTCACAAATCACTATTTTAATTAAGATACTTGGTGAAACTCTCTTTCATATCTTATAATAATCTATTTAATATTGATTCTATATTACAAATTTCAGTGAATATATTAGGTTTTAATATATTGGTTGGCATGTTTTATAAAATTTAAATTTAATTTTTATTTAGTATATATTAGTGGAGCAAGACAGTTCGTATTTTTATTAAAAATAAAATTCAAATTAAACAATAAAAATATGTTAATTTAATTAATTTTTCAGGTTGTTTTTGAACTTCCCAATTTTAGATTTCATAAAATATTTATTTTTATTTTTTAATAATAAAAAAGTATATTAGTCTATAAGATCAAGATAATTACAATAAAATATATCTATTTTGGTTTGTTTTATAAAATTAAAGTTTAAATTTAGCCTATCTTTTATTATAGATTTTTTATTACCTTAAATTTTTAAAAGTTTGATTTGTTCTATTAATTTATTTAAAAATATATTTTATATTAATAACGTTAAATAAATTAATAAACTTAATTTTAAATAAATCAATAATTATATTTTTAAATATACATACAATTTTTTTATTTATATGATAAAAAATAATTTACACTATTATTATTATTATTAAAATTAATTCATCAACCTGTTATATTAAACAAGAATTTTAACGAATTTTTAGGTTTTTTTATTTTTTATCTAATTTATTTTTTATTTATCAAATATTTTTATGAGTTTTTCTTCAATGAAATGTTTTATAGGAGCTTTTTTAATTTTTAATCTAATTTAATTTTTATTTAAGCTT